GAATTAATTATTTCCAGACGTTATGTAAGTAATTCAAATTTGACCTCAAGATCATCAAAATCTATGTTTGTATCTTGAGTTAATCCTATACAGACTGAAATTAGATTTTCTAATTGTGTAATCTTAGTCTGTAAAGGCTGAAACTGAGTTTTCAAGCAAGCCATTTTAATGGTATACTGAAAATTCTAGCACCACACTTAGAGTGTTTAAAAAACACTGTGCTGCTATAAACAGCTAAGTTTTTGTTATGCTTAAGTCAGCAATAATCAGTCAGACACTACTGACCTACTAAGCTTAACCTCAGGGTCAATGACTATGAAGGGTACAGAGTACATATGGCTGGTGTTTATAGCTTGAGTTTGCTGTGTCAGCCTGACAACGTTGAGCACATTATAAATAACGATGTTAAGAGATAAGATAAGATTTCGTTCGGATTTTTAACCCCGGAGGGTTAGCCACCCAGGATAACCCAAGAAAGTCAGTGCGTCATCAAGGACTGTCTAACTTATTTCCATTGGGGTCCTTAATCTTGTCCCCCAGGATGCGACCCACACCAGTCGACTAACACCCAGGTACCTATTTGCTGCTAGGTGAACAGGACAACAGGTGTAAGGAAACGTGTCGAAATGTTTCCACCCGCCGGAATCGAACGGCCTCCGTGTGTGAAGCGGGAGCTTTAGCCACAGGCCACGGCACCTACCAGGCCACCGGCCTGGTAGTGGCACCGTATAACTGTAATCACACATGTATATTTCTTACACATATATAAATGTCACTGTTAATATAATATATATATATATATAATATATATATATATATTTATATATATATATATAAAAGCTTACATTTTATATATAGTTTCCTTTAATATAACAGTTATATCTATAAGAAACAAACAAACACAATCTTGTTTCTTAATCTCTGATATAGACATTATAAACACTATGTGTATATACACTCAGACAAACTGACGGTTATCTGGCTTGTTGATGTGGTCAGCATTTCTCGAGCTTGAGAGCAGTGGATGACAGGTGCCATCCCCTGTTTTCTTGTTGGGTGAGTCACCCAGTTCCTGTTTTCTTTGGGTGAATGCTGGGCGAGCACCTGTTTTCTTTTGGCTGCCCATTCTCTGTGATTGGGTCTGGAGGGACTCATTTATACTGATTTACATTGTAAACACTAGATTTACAGCTTTTTTCGAAGTACCTTGGCTCGTAGGTTATTTGTACACTGTAGTACAACATATTTGGACCACAGTGTGGCCTTTATCCTGTTTGAAGGACCAAATTTGTTGAGAAATGGTTTACCAGCTAAGGTTAAAGATTAAATATAGAGAGTACTTAGCTGATAAGACAGCTATCGTCTACACAGCCTCCCCTGCAGATGAGGTCTTGAGAAACTGTCTTGACCACTTCTCAAAGGGCTGAAATAAAGTATATTAGGTATGATTATAAATTACCCCTAGGGGGTGTTATGTCAGCATATATCAGACACTGATGGCTGATGACACTTACTTGTGTGGACTCAAAGGTCCACTTATCACCGGAGTTTATGATAAGTGACTAACTCATAACTTATACTCAACTGTGCAGTCAACAGTAGTACATCACGAGTTAGTACACTTACCTGGGTATATGTATCTGACCCGTAGTTACGCCCAGATATCCAATGTGTTGATTGAAGAATAGTGTTCTTTGAAGAATGTCGCACTACACTCTGTTGGATCGCAACATTCATTGTTACACTGTTCATCAATAATTGTTCACACCATCACCTTCGGGTAAACCAAGGACTCGCTTTGGTCTTCCTATTATTTCTATTGCCTTTGGGAACAAACCTTTCCTCTGCCTCCTTTCACTTTGTTGTTACATATTCCATCATTTTTCTACCAGTTCTCTGTCCCACTGTGTTAATGGACTGATGTGGGTCGCATCCTCGGACATAACTGACCTAATTTGCCCAAAATGCTCTGCATAATAAGTGGCTTTCTATTGATGAACAGTGTAACAATGAATACACTGTTCATCAATAATTGTTCACACCATATCACTAAAGAAGCTGATCACACTTCTCTGTAATAATAATAATAATAATAATAATAATAATAATAATAATAATAATAATAATAATAATAATAATAATAATAATCTTTATTTACTACAAGAATGTGTACAAGGTATACAGGCCTAGCTGACATCAATGACATACTACTATATAGAAAGCCACTTATTATGCAGAGCATTTTGGGCAAATTAGGTCAGTTATGTCCGAGGATGCGACCCACATCAGTCCATTAACACAGTGGGACAGAGAACTGGTAGAAAAATGATGGAATATGTAACAACAAAGTGAAAGGAGGCAGAGGAAAGGTTTGTTCCCAAAGGCAATATAAATAATAGGAAGACCAAAGCGAGTCCTTGGTTTACCCGAAGGTGTAGGGAGGCAAAAACTAAGTGCACCAGAGAATGGAAAAGGTACAGGAGGCAAAGGACCCAGGAAAATAAGGAGATTAGTAGAAGAGCCAGAAACGAGTATGCACGGTAAGGAGGGAGGCCCAGCGACAGTACGAAAAGGACATAGCATCGAAAGTCAAGTCTGATCCGAAACTGCTGTATAGCCACATTAGGAGGAAGACAACAGTCAAATACCAGGTGATCAGGCTGAGGAAAGAAGGTGGGGAACTCACAAGAATCGATCAAGAGGTATGTGAGGAGCTCAACATGAGATTTAAAGAAGTATTTACAGTGGAGACAGGAAGGACTCTGGGGGGGACAGAACAGAGAAGGACACCAGCAAGGAATATATCAACAAGTGTTGGATGACATACATACAAATGAGGAGGGGGTGAAGAAGCTGCTAAGGGACATCGCTGCCTCAAAGGCAATGGGACCGGCCAACATCTCCCCGTGGGTCCTTAGAGAGGGAGCAGATATGTTGTGTGCCACTTACCACAATCTTCAAAACATCCCTGGAAACTGGGCAACTACCTAAGGTATGGAAGACGGCAAATGTAGTTCCCATTTTTAAAAAAGGAGACAGAAAAGAGGGACTAAACTATAAACCTGTGTCACTGACGTGTATAGTATGCAAAGTTATGGAGAAGATTATCAGGAGGAGAGTGGTGGAGCACCTGGACCGGAACAAGAGTATAAACGCCAACTAGCACGGATTCATGGAAGGCAAATCCTGTGTCACAAACCTTCTGGAGTTTTATGATAAAGTAACAGAAGTAAGACACAAGAGAGAGGGGTGGGTTGATTGCATCTTCTTGGACTGCAAGAAGGCCTTTGACACAGTTCCTCACAAGAGATTAGTGCAGAAGCTAGAGGATCAGGTGCATATAACAGGAAGGGCACTGCAATGTATCAGATAATACCTGACAGGGAGGCAACAACGAGTCATGGTACGTGATGAAGTATCACAGTGGGCACCTGTGACAAGCAGGGTTCCACAGGGGTCGGTCCTAGGACCAGTGCTATTTTTGGTATATGAGAATGACATGATGGAAGGGTTAGACTCAGAAGTGTCCCTGTTCGCAGATGATGTGAAGTTAATGAGGAGAATTAAATCAGATGAGGATCAGGCAGGACTTAAAAGAGACTTGGACAGACTGGACACCTGGTCCAGCAACTGGCTTCTCGAATTTAACCCCGCCAAATGCAAAGTCATGAAGATCGGGGAAGGGCACAGAAGACCGCAGATGGAGTATAGGCTAGATGGCCAAAGACTGCAAACCTCGCTCAAGGAGAAAGATCTTGGGGTGAGTATAACACCAAGCATGTCTCCGGAAGCACACATCAACCAGATAACTGCTGCAGCATATGGGCGCCTGGCAAACCTGAGAACAGCATTCCGATACCTTAGCAAGGAACCGTTCAAGACACTGTACACCGTGTACGTCAGGCCCATACTGGAGTATGCAGCACCTGTTTGGAACCCGCACTTGATCAAGCACGTCAAGAAATTAGAGAAAGTGCAAAGGTTTGCGACAAGGTTAGTTCCAGAGCTAAGGGGAATGTCCTATGAAGAAAGATTAAGGGAAATTGGCCTGACGACACTGGAGGACAGGAGGGTCAGGGGAGACATGATAACGACATATAAAAAACTGCGCGGAATTGACAAGGTGGACAAAGACAGGATGTTCCAGGAGGGGACACAGAAACAAGAGGTCACAATTGGAATTGAAGAGTCAGATGAGTCAAAGGGATGTTAGAAAGTATTTCTTCAGTCACAAAGTTGTCAAGCAGTGGAATAGCCTAGAAATTGACGTAGTGGAGGCGGGAACCATACATAGTTTTAAGACGAGGTTTGATAAAGCTCATGGAGCTGGGAGAGAGAGGACCCAGTAGCAACCAGTGAAGAGGTGGGGCCAGGAGCCAAGACTCGACCCCTGCAACCACAAATAGGTGAGCACACAGGTACCCATTTTACTGGTGAATGAACGTAGACAACCGGTGTAAGGAAACACACCCAATGTTTCCACCCATTCGCCGGGAATCGAACCCGGACCCTCACCGTGTAGTCTCCTATTTGTGGTTGCAGGGGTCGATACATAGCTCCTGGCCCCGCCTCTTCACTACTCGCTAATAGGTCCTCTCTCTCCCTACTCCATGAGTTTTATCATACCGTGTCTGGATAAACTTACTTAAGTTTGCCCAAAATAGCCAGTTTGACCATGGTTTTCTTTAAAAAAGTATCAAATTAATGTCACCCAATGTTGTAACACTTACAATTTGAAAATAATTTTGTTTATAGAATTAATAGAGTAAATTACTGCAACTTTATGTTAATAGTAAACAAAATTATTACAGTTGTAATTCTTATGTAAGATACGAACGATTTTTTAATTTTCAAATGGTAAAAAAAAATGTAGAATTATTTTTTGAGTAAGTATATTTAATTCTACATTAAGGATTAATTTTGGTAGTAATATTAGTAGCTATAGTATTAGCATTAATATTATTATTACAATAGTTGTTAATATGAGTTGTTTACGTGGAGTGAATCAATATGGCGGCGATGACCGTGAGAGCTGTCAGTGCTGCTGCTCACTGTTGACCTCACTCACTCCTCACTACCCACACTTGCATGTATTATAGCCACAGTTGGGTAAAATGATGGACACAGTCATGGGGTTTTCAGTACATATGGTAAGTGACGTCAGTATAACGCTCAGAAGTTATCCTTTGAACATATGTTCACCTTTTATGCATTATTATTATTATTATAATCAAGGGGGAAGCGCTAAACCCGGAGGATTATACAGCGCCTGGGGGGGGATGTGGAAGGCATTCAGGCTTAATTCGGGGAACTGGAGCACATCCAATTCCCTAAATCAAGAGCCCCTCACCAACATCAAGGAACCTTCCTTGAGGGGACCTTTTATGCAAGAATCTCCAACAAGCGATTCAAGATGCAGAGCAACCACAGGGGGAGTTGAATGATAGCTCTAGGCCTTTCGTGTTGCAATCAGTACGTCATCAGGAGCTTGCAGTGTTGCAGAAATGAGTAAGATCCCAGATTCTTTCAGAGGGACGCAGCACGAAAGGCCCAGAGTTGTCATTCAACTCCACCTGTGGTTGTTCTGCATGTTAACCTTTTTGGTCATCTCAAGGGAGGTTCTTGATCAAGGTGTTGGACCTGGCCTCCCATGCCTTCCAGCTCCAAGTGCTACGTAAATGTCAGTTACTACTCCCCTTGGAAATAAATGGTATAAAATACCGACACAATGGCAATATAAACACAAATGCAGTATAATGTGATCCTTTATTGACTACGTTTCGCCCACACAGTGGGCTTTTTCAAGTCACAAACAGAACTACCTGGGGTGGAAGGAACGCGAGTATTTATAGTCCGGTTCAGAATGCTGAGGTCAGGTGAAGAATGCTGCATCTGATGATGTACCGAGTGGGGTTATAGAGCCAAGAAACTTCTTCATCGCTATCCCACATAAGAACACTGTAGAAGGTCTGCTCACAAACTTATCTAATCTCCTTTCCAAGCTACCCAAGTTTTTAGACTCTATAACCCCACTCGGTACATCATCAGATGCAGCATTCTTCACCTGACCTCAGCATTCTGAACCGGACTATAAATACTCGCGTTCCTTCCACCCCAGGTAGTTCTGTTTGTGACTTGAAAAAGCCCACTGTGTGGACGAAACGTAGTCAATAAAGGATCACATTATACTGCATTTGTGTTTATTTTGCCACTACTTCCCTTCCTTGGAATTAAACCTGGTTGTTTCTCAGTACCCAAGGTGCTGTGTAACTCCTGCAGGTTTAGCACTTTCTTCTAAATATAGTATTACTAGCTTTATGATGTAAAGTGAGATATGCAAATTATCTTCATGATAAAGGAACAGTTTCAACTGAAATTATTGCATTTACAGGATTATAATGTTTCAAGTCTTATATCTTAATGACTTTTTCTAAATGTTGAAGATTAAGACACATGTACAACAGTTGGGTATCTTTATTGAAGAAACGTTTCAGCTACACAGTAGGCTTCTTTGGTCAGATACCTAGGTCTACTGTATAGGCAAAACGTTTCGTCAGTAAAGATACCCAACTGTTGCTCATAACTGAATCTTCAACTTGTCGGTATTTTATATAATTTTCAACATCTTAATTGCTGAAAGCCATGTTGCCGGTGACAACATATTGATGGGTTGCATATCTCCTTGCAGTCCTGGAAGCTCTTGCCTCCTCCCCTGGGAAAATTTCCAGTGAATATCCCGGATGTATGGAGAGAAATGGTATAAAATTCCAACCAGTGGAAAAATACACAAATGCAGTATAACGCAATCCCTTATTGACTATATTTTACCTACACATTGGGCTTTATCAAGTCAAAAACAGATATACCTGAGCAGAGAGAACATGAGTATATACAGCAGGTCCTCCTGGAGAGGGTTTTGGGGCTCGACACCCCCACAGCTCGGTCTGAGACCAGGCCTAGTGGTGAATCAGGGCCTGATCAATCAGGCTGTTACTGCTGGCCACACGCAAACTGACGTACGAACCACAGCTTGGCTGGTCAGGTACTGATTTTACGTGCTTGTCCAGTGCCTTCTTAAGACAGCCAGGGGTCTATTGGTAATCCCCCTTATGTATGCTGGGAGGCAGTTGAACAGTCTTGGGCCCAGGCCTCGAATAACGTTTCATTACAATGACGAGAAATTGAATACAAATTATTTTAAAATTAAAATTTGTAAGGTATACAATAATCATACAAATGCACAATAAGCTATGTGATACAAAAGTGCTCAGCAAGCTCACCATATTTGTTATAGTTTGTTTTTGAATTGCATTGTGGTAGCAAGTGCTCCTTACAGTTTTTGCTTTGTAAACATTTAATCAATGTACAGTGAGGTGTGGTTTCATTATATGTTGTTTCGCTTAACCCTTTCAGGGTCCAAGGCCAAAATCTGAAGTGGTGCCCCAGTGTCCAAGAATTTTCAAAAAAAAAAATTTTTATTTTTTCTTATGAAATGGTAGAGAATCTTTTTGTGAATGTAATAAAACAAAAAGTACGAAATTTGATGGAAAATTGACGAAATTATGCTCTCGTGAATTTTGATGTGTCAGCGATATTTACGAATCGGCGATTTTGCCGTCTTTGACTCCCATTTTAGGCCAATTACATTATTCCAGTCGACCAAATTCTCAGCTATTTCACTAGTATTACTTCTATTCTATCAATTGAGCACAAGAAATCGCCAAGTCAACTGTTTCAACTACAAAATAGTGACCGGAAATTGGTAATTTGGCCAATTTAACACAAAGTTCAAAATATTCCAATTTCAAAATAGGGTCCAGAATAAACAATGTAGGTATTCCTGGAACTAAACTAACATTTCCTCTGTTCATTAGTTATGTTTTGAGGCTTTACAAATAAATTCCATTTTGATTTTTTATTCACATAATGAATTTTTATTCACACCAAAAAATAGAAGATTTACTGTTATGCAATATTGTAATAATTGTATAAATATCATCACCACATTTGTGAATGCATATTAGACCCACCAGCTGGCGTGTATTAGACATGTGAGGTCGTTTGTTTACTCTTGAACATCGGCAAAATTTTAACATTTCCGCCACTTTGAGCTCAATTTCAAGCCATTTCCAGTGCTAACACCAATCAAAATTATCTCTATTTCTGTAATATGTCTTCCATTCTATCAAATGAGACCAAGAAATCACAAATACAACTATAAAAAACATACGAAAAAACACTGCAAAGTCGCTGTTTTAATCGAAAATCGTGGTCTGTTTTTTTTCTCTCATTATACACAGTGTGCTGCAGGATTTGTTTTATGTGGTGCACACATACCACATAGAGGTATTCTCTCATATCTAGGCCGAAATGTACCACTCACAGTTTATCAGAGTGAGCCGAGCTCATGACGTAGATCTACGGTTTGGACCCTGAACGTAAAGCCGTAGATCTACGGGACAGACCCTGAAAGGGTTAAATAGTACTAAGTTGTAATACATCATATTGTAAATTGTTTTAAATTGTTCTACTGTAATACTGTAATCTTTATAAACTAATTCAATATTGTAATTATTCTCTACTAGACTTATCAAAGCCATGAATCATTACCTAATAGAATACACATTCAAATCTCTCATACTCGCTGTAACTTAAGAACATTATTTCCTTCCTAATCTTAAGTTAATTTTTAAGTTTGCCCGAAATGCTATGTATACAAAGGGGCTTTTGACATGTACACCCAACTATTATATTCCTCTGTACAACCATGTATCATGTCAAAATAAACCTTTTATTCTTATTCTTAAAAACTTAAAACTACATGAGCAACACTGAGGTCAGTAACTTAGATCTGTGGAGAAATGGTGAAAGGGTTAAAAAAAATACTGTACTATCTAAATTTTAGTAGCTACATGGCACACAGCTTTGTTAAACTTGTTAATTTCTTTATTTTAGTGTACAATCATATACAGTGGACCCCCGCATAACGATTACCTCCGAATGTGACCAATTATGTAAGTGTATTTATGTAAGTGCGTTTGTACGTGTATGTTTGGGGGTCTGAAATGGACTAATCTACTTCACAATATTTCTTATGGGAACAAATTCGGTCAGCACTGGCACCTGAACATACTTCTGGAGTGAAAAAATATCGTTAACCGGGGGTCCACTGTAATTTTTAAACCATGTTTCTTGCTCTTCCAGGACTTTGAGGGACAGAAACTGGCCGAGAGGCTGTTCCAGATTATTGTGGTTGCATTTGGTGTAAGTATTGCAGTATTGTTCATCAGGGCTATATATTAGATTGTACATCAGGGCTATATATTACTTGTGTAAGACTAAGCTTTTGTTGAAATGAACGTAACAAATGAGCTAGAATGGAAAATATCTATGTAAAGAAGCTATACAAACAAATGTATATCTTTTCGCTCATAAATTATTATTGTCTATAATAATTTGCTAATGTAATAGTTTTGCAAACTGTATTACATTATTTAATAATTTTGCAGGGAAAACTCATACCTGCATTATGCACATTTTTAAGGCAGGAGTAAAGCTAATGCTGTGGTATTTTTGGCAAGGCTTAATGGAAATAAATTAATGATAGTGTGTAGCTTTAAGGGCAGAAATAAAATGAAGTCGAGTAAGGTTATACTGTATTTATATGCATCTAGTTCTGGTAATCAACACCCCCTAATAGCACGATCTCTGACCTGGTCTCCGAAATTGGAAAATAATTTTTAACTACTTCTTGAAGAAACTGTTTAATCATCGTTCTTTCAATGGTTTTCTTGCCGAATGTGTGGGGACATCACAATTCAAATATAAACCCTCAAAACTGTAGCACCCCCATCCCATCCTTTCCTCAGGGTGTAGGTGTGGTACTCCCCACCTCCATGACTCTAGTCCCAATAATTGGTTTTCTCTCAAATCCTTTGAAAGATGTTATCTTCCACACACTTCATGGCACTTCAAATACCGAAACTACTTGCTGTGATCTAATGTGCTTGTTGAGGACTGCTGGATGCTGGGTAGTAATGACTTGCCAGTTCAGAATGTTAATAAAATTTAGATAGCATATAATTTTAATTTAAAATCAATTGAATCTGAAATGGTGAAATATTATGGCAACAATTAATTCCTGTAAAATGATACAAGCTAGGGATCCTGCTATTCTCCATAAACCGAATTTAATAGTTTTGTGACTAATTGTAATAGGTTTACACACACACACCACACAACACACCAACACACACACACACACACACACACACCACACACACAACACACACACACACACAACACACACACACACACACACACACACACACACACACACAACACACACACACACACCACACACACACACACACACACACACACACACACACACACACACACCACACACACCAACACACACACACACACACACAGGAGCTATGACTCAACCCCTGCAACCACAAATAGGTGAGTACACACACACACACCAAACAACCCCCCATCCCCCAGAACTACTGTGACACTTTCAAATTCCATGCAGACTTAATCATGTCACTAGGCAATGAGACACATTTGAGATACCCTTGGCAGCCAGAAAAGGCAGGATCACACAAACTCCCTTTCCACATAGTCTGTAGAAGTATAAATTTAGTAAATCAACCAAAACAAATGTGTACATAAATGTTAAAATTTATGTAATGTGGCATAATGGTTTTTTAAGTTAAATAATGAGTGGATATCAGTAAGTGATCATAACCTTTGTTAAGAGGCAACACCCCTTGACACCATAATTTATGCCTACACAAAATGCTTACTCCCAACACGATTATGGATTAGCTCCAATGTGACTTTCTATAAAATAGGTGGCGAGAGTCTGATATGATTACTTCTGACAAGTTATCATATACCTGAATGCACAACACCTTCACTACCTTCATCCAGTCTAGCATGGGATTACAATACATGGGATTGCAACATTTTGGCATCTATTTCTTTAATGTTTTGCCTACACAGTAGGCTGCTCCAGTTGAATACCAGCAGTTACCGTAGTCGAATACCAGCCTGGAACTTTTAAGTTTCTAAATTTATGGATGTTTACAAAATTTTATTAGTGCATTGCATCATTTAAATTTGAAAACACATATGGTACTGTAGTTATTTTTTATTCTTGCCATCTTGTGATCTGGAGTATCACTATCAGTCTTGGGTGTCTGCATGATTAAGGTGCAGTGATGAAATAAGGGATACAGACAAAATTTTTCATATTTTCATCAAAGCTTTAGTATATTGATCTGCATAATAAATATTTTTCTCTCTGTATTAAGTTTCACAGAATACTGGCCAAGATAAACTGCCCTGTTAGCATTCATTGTTGAAGCTCACAAAAATCCTAGCTAATAGAGGATAGCCCTGATTGTGCCAATGTTAGTTGCCAAGGGAATGGACAGATTTATTTGAGGGTTAGTCCTCAAATTGGGGTGTAGTGTGCTTTGATCCAAAATACCCCCAGCATCCAGACAACAGGGCTGGATTAAAGTCTTTGTAGGCCCTAGGCATTCTTAAGTAAGATAGTAAAATATTTATAGATCAGTTTTGTTAGGCTTATGTGATAATTATTAATTCCCTATAACAGCTGTACTCTACTTTCCACAGTCTTGCAATTTCATTCAACATTTCTTGATAAGTTTCCATACATTATCTATTTATGCATATTATTGTAAGTGCTGAGCAGTGACATGTCGTGGAAAAATGCTGGAGCAAGCAAATTACACTAAAAAATTTTGATTAAGCTGAAGTATGAATATTAATAAAAAAAAATGCATATTCATTTAATCCCTCAAGGGGTGATGCTTGTGAGGGGATCTTGATTCTCAGATTCCTTGGCCCAAACCTGATTGCCTTCCATTACAAGGTGCTGTATGACCCCTACAAGTTTAGTGTTCCTCATTGAATGTAATAATTTTAATTTATTTAACTAATAAAATAGGATATACTGTAGTAACAGAATATTTATCCTACCATTTAAAATAAAATTAATTGGAATTATTCTTGGCTTTCAAGCAAAATTTTCATTAATTTTAATGTAAAATTCTGACTTGCTTTGAAGACTGCATTACAGTAATTCTATTTTTCAACTGATGGAAGGACCAACCTTTGTAATATTTATTTTCTTGAAAATGTCTGGTGCAGGTTATTTAGTTTAAAGCAGAAAAATTGATCTCTACTGATGTATTCATTGTTCTAAAAGTCTAAATGAAGACAAATTTGTGAGTATACAATTATAAATAATTTGTTTCCCTAATGCAGTATACAGGTAATATAGTTAACATGTGTTAAAATATTGTTAGGCACAAAAGAAAGCCAGTAGCATGTAGTACATTTCAAGCAGACTAATCCTAATGCTTAAAGACTACTTGACTGAAAGCATTCATTGCACTTGGCCTGTGTGCGAATAAATTAAGGTAAACTGCAGGTCCCCAGTTACCACTGCTGGTCTTTTATGGGCTAGTGGACTTGGTCATTGTTAGCCTGTTGAAAAAATCTAAAAACATGTTAATATCACAGCAGTACTGTAGTTTCATAACATCCTCAGCTTACTTTTAGTGTAACATGAAAGGTGAATCAAGAAGCATGAAAGAACACAGTGAGGTCTAAATGTGAAAAGGTATGCATGTAAAATTAATAGTTATCTTAACTAAGCCAATATATACACAAGAAAGGCATTAAATTAAATACACCCCAGTAACAAATGAATCTTGTACTTTGTATTTCAGTTATTTTTTTTATTATTATTATATAAGACTGTAGGTTGGTAGACAGCAACCACCCAGGGAAGTACTACCGTCTTGCCAGATGACTGTGAAACAGAAACCTGTAACTGTTTTGCATGATGGTAGGATTGCTGGTTTCTTTTTTTGTCTCATAAACACGCTAGATAACAGGGATATCTTGCTACTCCTACTTACACTTTGGTCACACTTCACAGACATGCACATGCATATATATATATACATGCATCTAGGTTTTTCCCCTTTTTCTAAATAGCTCTTGTTCTTCTTAATTTCTTCTATTGTCCATGGGGAAGTGGAAAAGAATCTTTCCTCCGTAAGCCATGCGTGTTTTATGAGGCGACTAAAATGCCGGGAGCAATGGGCTAGTAACCCCTTCTCCTGTAGACATTTACTAAAAAAGAGAAGAAGAAAAACTTTATAAAACTGGGATGCTTGAATGTGAGTGGATGTAGTGTGGATGACAAGAAACAGATGATTGCTGATGTTATGAATGAAAAGAAGTTGGATGTCCTGGCCCTAAGCGAAACAAAGCTGAAGGGGGTAGGGGAGTTTCGGTGGGGGGAAATAAATGGGATTAAATCTGGAGTATCTGAGAGAGTTAGAGCAAAGGAAGGGGTAGCAGTAATGTTGAAGGATCAGTTACGGAAGGAGAAAAGAGAATATGAATGTGTAAATTCAAGAATTATGTGGATTAAAGTAAAGGTTGGATGTGAAAAGTGGGTCATAATAAGCGTGTATGCACCTGGAGAAGAGAGGAATGTAGAGGAGAGAGAGAGAGATTTTGGGAGATGTTAAGTGAATGTATAGGAGCCTTTGAACCAAGTGAGAGAGTAATTGTGGTAGGGGATCTGAATGCTAAAGTAGGAGAAACTTTTAGAGAGGGTGTGGTAGGTAAGTTTGGGGTGCCAGGTGTTAATGATAATGGGAGCCCTTTGATTGAACTTTGTATAGAAAGGGGTTTAGTTATAGGTAATACATATTTTAAGAAAAAGAGGATAAATAAGTATACAAGATATGATGTAGGGTGAAATGATAGTAGTTTGTTGGATTATGTATTGGTAGATAAAAGACTGTTGAGTAGACTTCAGGATGTACATGTTTATAGAGGGGCCACAGATATATCAGATCACTTTCTAGTTGTAGCTACACTGAGAGTAAAAGGTAGATGGGATACAAGGAGAATAGAAGCATCAGGGAAGAGAGAGCTGAAGGTTTATAAACTAAAAGAGGAGGCAGTTAGGGTAAGATATAAACAGCTATTGGAGGATAGATGGGCTAATGAGAGCATAGGCAATGGGGTCGAAGAGGTATGGGGTAGGTTTAAAAATGTAGTGTTAGTGTTCAGCAGAAGTTTGTGGTTACAGGAAAGTGGGTGCGGGAGGAAAGAGGAGCGATTGGTGGAATGATGATGTAGAGAGAGCAGTAAGGGAGAAAAAGTTAGCATATGAGAAGTTTTTACAAAGTAGAAGTGATGCAAGGAGGGAAGAGTATATGGAGAAAAAGAGAGAGGTTAAGAGAGTGGTGAAGCAATGTAAAAAGAGATCAAATGAGAGAGTGGGTGAGATGTTATCAACAAATTTTGTTGAAAATAAGAAAAAGTTTTGGAGTGAGATTAACAAGTTAAGGAAGCCTAGAGAACAAATGGATTTGTCAGTTAAAAATAGAAGAGGAGAGTTATTAAATGGAGAGTTAGAGGTATTGGGAAGATGGAGGGAATATTTTGAGGAATTGTTAAATGTTGATGAAGATAGGGAAGCTGTGATTTCGTATATAGGGCAAGGAGGAATAACATCTTGTAGGAGTGAGGAAGAGCCAGTTGTGAGTGTGGGGGAAGTTCGTGAGGCAGTAGGTAAAATGAAAGGGGGTAAGGCAGCCGGGATTGATGGGATAAAGATAGAAATGTTAAAAGCAGGTGGGGATATAGTTTTGGAGTGGTTGGTGCAATTATTTAATAAATGTATGGAAGAGGGTAAGGTACCTAGGGATTGGCAGAGAGCATGCATAGTTCCTTTGTATAAAGGCAAAGGGGACAAAAGAGAGTGCAAAAATTATAGGGGGATAAGTCTGTTGAGTATACATGGTAAAGTGTATGGTAGTTATTATTGAAAGAATTAAGAGTAAGACGGAGAATAGGATAGCAGATGAACAAGGAGGCTTTAGGAAAGGTAGGGGGTGTGTGGACCAGGTGTTTACAGTGAAACATATAAGTGAACAGTATTTAGATAAGGCTAAAGAGGTCTTTGTGGCATTTATGGATTTGGAAAAGGCGTATGACAGGGTGGATAGGGGGGCAATGTGGCAGATGTTGCAGGTGTATGGTATAGGAGGTAGGTTACTGAAAGCAGTGAAGAGTTTCTACAAGGATAGTGAGGCTCAAGTTAGAGTATGTAGGAAAGAGGGAAATTATTTCCCAGTAAAAGTAGGCCTTAGACAAGGATGTGTGATGTCACCATGGTTGTTTAATATATTTATAGATGGGGTTGTAAGAGAAGTAAATGCGAGGGTCTTGGCAAAAGGCGTGGAGTTAAAAGATAAAGAATCACACATAAAGTGGGAGTTGTCACAGTTGCTCTTTGCTGATGACACTGTGCTCTGGGGAGATTCTGAAGAGAAGTTGCAGAGATTGGTGGATGAAATTGGTAGGGTGTGCAAAAGAAGAAAATTAAAAGTGAATACAGGAAAGAGTAAGGTTATGAGGATAACAAAAAGATTAGGTGATGAAAGATTGGATATCAGATTGGAGGGAGAGAGTATGGAGGAGGTGAATGTATTCAGATATTTGGTAGTGGACGTGTCAGCGGATGGGTCTGTGAAAGATGAGGTGAATCATAGAATTGATGAGGGGAAAAGGGTGAGTGGTGCACTTAGGAGTTTGTGGAGACAAAGAGCTTTGTCCTTGGAGGCAAAGAGGGGAATGTATGAGAGTATAGTTTTACCAACGCTCTTATATGGGTGTGAAGCATGGGTGATGAATGTTGCAGCGAGGAGAAGGCTGTAGGCAGTGGAGATGTCATGTCTGAGGGAAATGTGTGGTGTGAATATAATGTAGAGAATTCGTAGTTTGGAAGTTAGGAGGAGGTGCGGGATTACCAAAACTGTTGTCCAGAGGGCTGAGGAAGGGTTGTTGAGGTGGTTCGGATATGTAGAGAGAATGGAGCGAAACAGAGTGACTTCAAGAGTGTATCAGTCTGTAGTGGAAGGAAGGTGGGGTAGGGGTCGGCCTAGGAAAGGTTGGAGGGAGGGGGTAAAATGTTTTGTGTGTGAGGGGCTTGGACTTCCAGCAGGCATGCGTGAGCGTGTTTGATAGGAGTGAATGGAGACAAATGGTTTTTAATACTTGACGTGCTGTTGGAGTGTGAGCAAAGTAACATTTATGAAGGGGTTCAGGGAAACCGGCAGGCCGGACTTGAGTCCTGGAGATGGAAGTACAGTGCCTGCACTCTGAAGGAGGGGTGTTAATGTTGCAGTTTAAAAACTGTAGTGTAAAGCACCCTTCTGGCAAGACAGTGATGGAGTAAATGATGGTGAAAGTTTTTCTTTTTCAGGCCACCCTGCCTTGGTGGGAATCGGCCAGTGTGATAAAAAAATAAAATAAAATAAAATAGACTGTTTCAGTGTACCTTGTTCAAGGATTAACTTTGCATGTTATTTTCAGGCTGGTGGTTGGCTGTATGGATACTACGTACAAGACTTCTTCATCACTGTTCTTACTCTTGGTGCTGGCTTTGTTCTGGCGTGTTTGGTTAGTACTAAAGTTTATTGTTCGTCAAATCTAATGTTAACATTAAGCATATAATACCTTTAAGTTAATACAGTGGACCCTCGCCTAACGAACTCATCGCATAACGTTAAATCTGCCTAGCGATACATTTTAATGCAAAAATTTTGCCTCGGCTAGCGCTAAAAAACTCGCTCAATGCGATTCGTTCAAGACTCGTCCACGTGCGGCCTGAGCCCGCCTCACTTGTTCCGTGGGTGCCAGTGTTTACAAGCCAGCCACCGCGGTCGCTTCCAAGCATACAATCGGAACATTTCATATTATCACAGCCTTTTTAGTGATTGCACCTGCAAAATAAGTCACCATGGGCCCCAAGAAAGCTTCTAGTGCCAACCCTACAGGAAAAAGGGGTGAGAATTACTATGGATATGAAGAAAGAGATAATTGCTAAGTATGAAAGTGGAGTGTGTGTCTCTGAGCTGGCCAGGTTGTACACAAAACCCCAATCAACCATCAAGGAAGCTGTTCTTGCCAAAGGTGCAACTTTGTTTTCAAAACAGATCGCAAGTGATAGAAGATGTTGAGAGACTGTTATTGGTGTGGATAAACGAAAAACAGATAGCAGGAGATAGCATCTCTCAAGCGATCATATGTGAAAAGGCTAGGAAGTTGCATGAGGATTTAATTAGAAAAATGCCTGCAACTAGTGGTGATGAGAGTGAATTTAAGGCCAGCAAAGGTTGGTTTGAGAGATATAAGAATTGTAGTGGCATACATAGTGTGATAAGGCATGGTGAGGCTGCCAGTTCAGACCACAAAGCGGCTGAAAAAATATGTGCAGGAATTCAAGGAGTACATAGACAGTGAAGGACTGAAACCTGAGCAAGTGTTTGTGATGAAACAGGCCTGTTTTGGAAGAAAATGCTAAGCAGGACCTACATTACTCAGGAGGAAAAGGCACTCCCAGGACATAAGCCTATGAAAGACAGGCTTACTCTGTTGATGTGTGCTAATGCTAGTGGTGATTGCAAAGTGAAGCCTTTATTGGTGTATCACTCTGAAACTCCTAGTGTGTTCAGGAAAAACAATGTCCTCAAGGTTAAATTGTGTGTGCTGTGGAGGGCAAACAGTAAGGCATGGGTCACTAGGGACTTTTTCTATGACTGGTTACACCATGCATTTGCCCCCAATGTGAAAAATTACCTAATTGAAAAGAAATTAGACCTTAAGTGCCTCCTGGTATTAGACAATGCTCCTGGTCATCCTTCAGACGTGGCAGAGCGACTTTCTGCGGAAATGAGCTTCATTAAGGTCAAGTTTTTGCCTCCTAATACCACTCCTCTCCTGCAGCCCATAGACCAGGTCATTTCCAACTTCAAGAAACTGTACACAAAAGCTATGTTTAAAAGGTGCTTTGTAGTGACCTCAGAAACTCGATTGACTCTAAGAGTTTTGGAGAGATCACTTTAGCATCCTCAGTTGTGTAAACATTATAGGTAAGGCTTGGGAGGAAGTGACTAAGAGGACCTTGAACTCTGCTTGGAAGAAACTGTGGCCAGAATGTGTAGCAAAAGGGATTTTGAAGGGTTTGAGGCTAACCCTGGGAATCCTATGCCAGTTGAGGAATCCATTGTGGCATTGGGGAAGTGCTTGGGGTTGGAGGTTAGTGGGGAGGGTATGGAAGAGTTGGTGGAGGAGGACAATGACGAACTAACCGCTGATGAGCTGCTGGATCATCTTCAACAGCAAGAGGCCAGACCTGAGGAAACTGTTCCGGAGGAGGGGATAGAGAAATTGAAGAAGTTGTCTACTTCAAAGATTAAGGAAATGTGTGCAATGTGGCTTAAAGTGCAAACCTTTTTTGATGAAAATCGCCCTCGCACAGCTATTGCAAGCTGTGCTGGTGACTATTACGCTGAAAATGTTGTGAAACACTTTAGGAATGTCATAAAGGAACGGGAGGTACAGGCCACTATGGACAGACATGTTGTGCGACAGAGGTCCAGTGACTCAAGCTGGTCCTAGTGGCATTAAAAGGAGGAGGGAAGTAACCCCAGAAAAGGACTTGACACTTCAAGTCATAATGGAAGGGGATTCCCCTTCTAAACATTAACACCATCCACAGTCTCCCCTCCTCCCATCCCATCAATCATCATCAGATCTTCAATAAAGGTAAGTGTCATGTAACTGTGTATGTCTTCTTCAGTTTGTGTGTATTAAAATTAATATTTCATGTGGTAAAAATTTTTTTTTGGTTCATACTTTGGGGTGTCAGGAACGGATTAATTTGATTTCCATTATTTCTTATGGGGAAAATTAATTCGGCTAACGATAATTTCGCCTAACGTTGAGCTCTCGGGAACTGATTAATAGCGTTAGGCAAGGGTCCGCTATAATACACTGTACTGAGAATCAGGTACGGTACAGTATAAGTATATAGAGGAATTGCAGGACTGTGATTCATAGTGTGATGTTCACAGTTGTGTATAGTGACCTTTTTTCCTCCAGAATATGGAGTACGTACTGTATTGAGAACTATAGGTACAGTATTTGCAGTTACAAATAAGGCATGTTCAGTGCTTTGATATCCTTCTTTCCAAAATATTTTGCCTACACAGTAGGCTTCTGTCAGATATTGGTGACTAAAATTGGAGACAGGAGCAACAATGGAGAGGTAAAGATGATGTGATCAGTCCATCAGCCTTGAAGTACTAGCTTTTAAGGCAATCAGTCTCCCTTTGAGAAGTGTCCATCTGAATCTTCTTGATAAACATGAAGCTTTGGCTTTATGTTGGACCCAGAAGTGAAGTATGGAATGGTGTCATAGGAGGTGGGGCTAACTAGTAGAGCTTATGACTTGAAGTGCAGTGTAGTATTGGTCCGTGCTAGATAGGTCCCTCTCGGATATGGCCCTTTCTCACTCGACTAGTGATGGAAAAATAAAGTTATGGAAGTTATAGAAGCTGCTGCTTCTACTGTCTCCAGTTATGGTCACCTCTGTATATGGCTGAAGAAGCCAAAGTGAAATGTTTTGTAAATAAAAATACTAGTGTTGCTTATGTCTTATTCATCAACATACAGTGGACCCCCGCCTTACGATGGCATCGCGTTACGTTAAATCTGCCATTCGATATGTTTGAACGCAAAAATTTGCCTCGCCTCACGCGATTAGTCCGGGACGGGTCCCACTCGTGGCCTCAGCTGCCCCGTGGGTGCCAGTGCGGTCACATCCACGCATACATTCGGTACATTTCATAAGTGTTTTTAGTGATTGCAGCTGCAAAATAAGTCACCATGGGCCCCAAGAAAGCTTCTAGTGCCAACCCTGTGGTAAAAAGGGTGAGAATTAGTATGGAAATTAAGAATGATTTTGAAGGGTTTGGGGCTAACCCTGAGAAGCCTATGACAGTTGTGGAATCCATTGTGCCTACTTCAAAGATTAAGGAAATGTGTGCAAAGTGGGTTGAAGTGCAAACCTTTATGGATGAAAATCACCCTAACACAGCTATTGCAAGCCGTGCTGGTGACTATTACAATGAAAATGTGGCCCATTTTAGGGAGGTACAGACCTCTATTCAATTCAAAGTTTATTATCTTTAAGGATTACAATGCTGAGTTTACAGAATTTGGTTATTGTGTGGTTTACATGTAGTGAAATAATTAGTGTACCACTAGAACACCTAGCATGGCTAGGCATTTCGGGCAGATTTGTTGTGCGACAGAGGTCCAGTGACTCAAGCTGGTCTTAGTGGCATTAAAAGAAGAAGTAACCCCAGAAAAGGACTTGCTACCTCAAGTCCTAATGGAAGGGGATTCCCCTTCTAAACAATAACAGCTTCCACACACTCCCCTCCTCCCATCCCATCAATCATCACCAGATCTTCAATAAAGGAAAGTATCATGTATTGTATTCTTAGTAGAGTATTAATTGTGCATGTCTTCTTAAGTTTGTGTGTATTAAAATTAATATTTCATGTGGTAAAAAAATTTTTTTTTCATACTTTGTGGCATCTTGCATGGATTAATTTGATTTCCCTTATTTCTTATGGGGAAAATTAATTCGCCATACAATAATTTTGTCTTGCGATGAGCTCTCATGAACGGATTAATATCGTAAGGCGGGGTCCACTGTATTGATACACATGTAGTATACCATTATTATATTGATGTCTTCAGTTATGTTCTGGTGCAAATATGCGTGTCTGAAGTTTTAAACAGATGCTACTGATAACCATAACTGAATCCTTGTGAGAAAACTAGTATAACTTGAGCAAATATATACATTTTAAATGGATGATGGAATTTCATGCAGATGTTCCCTTGTAATGGAAATACTGTACACTTAATTTTTTGACTTGCTGCACATTCGACATTGGCACTTCGACACATGAACACTAATCCACAGTTACAATGTTGCAAGTACAGGCAGACCCTGCATTACAGCGCTTCACTTTATGGTGTTTCACTAATGCGCTGTTTTCAATTACAGTAGACAGTCATTTAACATAGTTATATTCCTGAAAAAGCCATGTTAGGTAAAATGTGTTAGAGGAACTGAAGAACTTAGGGTAAAAATAAGGTTACGTTCCTGGGAGCCCCCGAAAAGCCAAACATCTTTTTTTTAGACCAACAGATCTTGCAAAAATAAAAGTGAGTATGTAATTGTAGTTCATTGTCAAGATATATAACTGCTTAAGACTACAAATGCATTAGAAATAATAGTATTTCTTACCTTAAATTGTGGGTAATGGTGTTTGTGGATAATGTGAAGAGTGGATATGCATGGTGTGGCCCTACTGGGCTGAGGTGGATGGTTGTTGGTTGTCGGCAGAAGTGGATGGTTGTTGGTTGTCGGCAGAAGTCGATGGTTGTATTGGAGTGTGCATAAATTCTGTGATGAATCTCTGGGCTTTTTTACCCTGCAGTACATTATACAGCTGATAAGGCATCATCAGCTGGTCTAGACCCCATTTCAAAACACTGCTTCTAGATTTCTCAGGGTCCTCTTCAGTGAGTCTCCTAGT